TTAGTTACACGAATTCAGATATGGAGCTTTAATAAGTTGTATTTACGCACAATTTACTTGCAATCTTGAGTTTTAAGTAATATGCATTAATAAACAGTACTTTACGCATAAAAAACGATTTTAAGAGTTTTTTTTTTATCAAATGCTTTATAATATATTCAATCTAATAATATAATATATATTTTATTATTATTATTATTATTATTATTATTATTATTATTATTATTATTATACACATCCTATATCTATACTATATAGGATAAATTTTCTATTAAGTCCTGTATGGATAAATTTGTTTGTCTGGATAAATTTGGCTGTCTGGATAAATTTTGGTTGATGTTTATTTTTCTATCTAAATCAATAGTCTGAATAATAGAAATGACCAATTTACCCCTGAGTATTAACTATGGGCTGTTTAGTATACACTTGTTCATTTTTTAAGGCAATCGAAAATTGGTCCAGCAAACAGCAGCAAACCAACCACACCAACAGTAATAGACCAACAGCCGAATGTATGAATACAGCACTGATCAAAGACCGGAAGAGGCACTAACAGTAACCAACCAAAACACAATAAACTCTACGAATTCCAAACCGTGGCAAACCAGTAAAACCAGCACACAACGATCAAGGATAATCCAACTCACCTAATCAGCTGCGAAAGGAACTAGCAAGCAGGTCGATCAAAACTAGGGCAAGGAAGAACCCTAGATCAACCAGAGGGACGAAGCGCACCAGAACCCTAGAACGATCTAGGCAGAAATGGAAGTACAACCAGACCGAAGAACAAAACAGCAACAAATCCAAAACAAAAACCGATCTATGTAGCAACCTAACCAAGCTCGGCTAAAACCCTAGCCGATAACAGTCGCACAGCCGCAAACACAATCCAAAACAAGTGAAGAAGGAAACAAACTTACCAAACTGAAGACCAAAATCATGCCCTCACCTTACTATCGAGATCTCACGTAAACACCAAAATCATGCCCTCACCTTACAGGGTTCTTGGAGGAGCGACTATTGGAGGAGAAAAGAGAGGCGTGGGTTTTGTTGAAGGGTAGGCAGGTCATTTTTCTTTGCTTAATGTGGACAAGTGATGGTACCTGCTGTGCGAATAAGCTCATATATGGGCGAATAAGCCCAAAGTAAACAGCCTAAAATGGCTGTGCGAATAAGCTCATTAAGCCAAAGTAAAAAGGCAGCCTTTTGCTGCTCGTCATCATATGCAATCTTCAATACTTGTTCTCACTACCATTTGATGCTCTTTTGAACTTTTGCTCATGTATGAGTAGAGAACTTTGCAAAGGATCGACAGAGAGTTTGTCAATGTCCTTGGATAGAACATACCATGTAATTGAAGTTTTCAGTGAGGATACGTAACATTTTCTCCACAATCTTCACATCTTGCATATCCTCACCATAGTTTCGCATATCATTTGGCAACCACCATGACTCTTGCTAAGTAGTCAGTCACTGACTCTCCACTCTTCATCTCCATCTCTAATAGCTCCCAGGTTCTTCTCAGGGATTGCAGCAGGGAACGTTGAACCCTTGCATTCCCTTGATACTTCGTTTTCATTGGGTCCCATAGTTGCTTCGATGTCTCCTTTTACATGATGGTTTTGATAATCGTCTTGTCAATTGCACTGAACAAGTAGTTTTTGGCGTTGAGATCCTTTAATGACTTTCTTTTGGGGCGCAGGCAAAGCATCTTCATTGTCGATCTCAATAAACCCATTTTGCACAATGCTCCAGTATTCTTTTGACCTAAGGAGATTCTCCATAAGCAAACTCCAATGATCGTAATCCCCATCAAACTTGGGAATGCTTGGTGGCAAGTTACTGCTTTCAGGCATCTCTTTTTTGGGTAGCACTTGTCTCTCTGTTTCTCACTTACAGGCCAGGCTTCTTGTGAAAGCTCTGATACCAGAAAAGTGAAAATACACATACAAAAGTATTGAATACCTTCGATGATTTATTAAGCATTCAAAGAGTGAATACAGAAACCGACTTACGAAAGAAAAGCCTACACGTGGAAACAAAAAAAGAATAATTCAAACTTGTTGGCTCCTAATTTATTGCTATTAATCAAAGACAAAGTCTAAGACGACTCCAACACGTTCATCAGATCATTTCTTTTCCTACCTTCCTCTCTTTTTTCTCTTTCTATCTTGAAACAATGTTGTAGATTTTGTTTTATTTTGCAAGAAAGTGTGAGTTCATATCTACTTTTTTATTCTTTTTATACTTGCTAGATTTTTCCCTTTTTTTTTTACTCATTATATCTATCAGTAATTTGTTCCTTTGCTCAATTCCTTTTTTTTTTTGCAGGTGATTCGTTCCTTTACTCCAAAAAGAGATCTTTTGTCTTGAAACAATGTTTTAGATTCTGTTTGATTATGAAGAAACCAAATGCTGCCATTCAGAATGCTGATGCTGCTCTCCGAGCAGTGTTTTGTTTTTCGTTGGACATAACAAACTCAACTTGCTGCTACTGTCAAAAGGAACATCTGATCAACTATACTACTTTTAACGCATAATATTTTAAAAATTACTTTTATTGATGATGATGTGCCACCACACCACCTAAGAGAACTTTAGCGTTTGAAGAGGTTATATGCTTCATGAACAAAACAAAGGTGAAAGAAACAACAATCCTTTGAATAATTGGAGAAGTACTTCCAAAATCATGATCATGCTTACAAATTGTTTTTAGACACACTGAACATGTATCTGAAGGAACATAAAGACATCAATGAAGTGCATCATGAGGTGAACTTCTGTAAGATTTTTATGACAAATTTTCATGGTATGCAGTTTCATTGTTCTTCGATGCATTACTTGGTCACCGTTCGTAATTTATGCAGCTGGCCACACTTTTTGATGATCATCCATGCTTTTTTATAGATTTTGATCGATAATGCCTTTTATATTAAGCAAGGAAGATCGCCCTGCACCTGCAATGGAGATGCCAATACTTGACCAAAAAGAGTAGATTTAAGCAAAAACAGCTTGATAAATGGAGGTATAATTTGTCCAAAGAGGATGGATCGAGATCTGATAAAGTGGTTAGATATTATCTTGTTTCTGTACGATACCAGTGCAGTGCAGGTTATTGGAGCTTCATGGTATCTACCAGCCGTGGAGCGACAATATTCGTGCCGGAAAGAAGAATGTGCACACCGAGTCACCCCTGGCCTCAGTCATCCCAGGCCTGATGCGTGGTTAAAAGAAACTCAAACGTTGAATCATTGTAGTGCTGAAATTTGCCCCGTCAATTTCACTTTTTGTGATTGTTATTGTTGTTTGATAATTTTTAAGGATCGATTATTCTTATTTGTTGTTCAATTTCATTGTCATAGTTTTGATATGATGTTTTACTAGAATGCAAATATGTGCAAATACTATGGGAAGTCTTTTACCTAAGTAATGTATATTGATACTTTAGGGTCGTTTTTCCAAACCTTTATCTTGAAGAGTTAACACTAACGTAATTTACCGGTAAGATATAGTCCATCAAAAGAGTATCGTATGTAATAACTTACCTAAAGTCTTACCCGCTAAGTCAGAACAACAACTTGCCACGGTTAGCACTTATCGAATAAATTATTAAATACGATATCGTTTTGGTGGACTAAAATCTTACCTGATAAATAAGTGATAGTGTTAAACTTTACGTGTAAGCGCTTACCGGGTAAGTGTTTGAATAAACAACCCTTAATAGACCATATTAACATTCACTGTATCTACCATTATGTTCATGATTTCAAGCCATAGAAAACCTAAAAATTAGCATCGAGTAAGATGGAGTATAAAACAAAACATGAAATAACATTTCATTTCAAGTTCTCGGCTTTAAAATAATGATGGGGTTCTTTTCACCCTTCTCTTACGGTACTACTTCGCTATCAGTCACCAATGAGTATTTAGCTTTGCAAGGTGGTCCTTGCTGATTCACATGTCCTGCTGTATTGCGATAGTTCACTACTAGTGTGTGTGTGCGTGCACATATATAGATAGATAGATTTGTATTATAAATTAATATTTTTTTCATGACTAAAATACAAATATATTTTATGCATATTTATACTATATTATAAAATATTTGACAAAAATTCTTAAAAATCATCTTTTATGTATGAATTATTGTTTATTACATATTACTTAAAATTCAAAATTACAAGTAAATTGTACGTAAACACAACTTATTAAAACTCCATTTTTGAATTTGTATGAGTAATTGTTGATAAATATAATCAAACACTAGATAAACATTATCCTTATAAAAAATTATATTCTTAAACCAAAATAAATTATTAAACCTAAATCAGATTATAATAAAAATTTGAATTAAATAAATTACATAAAAAACAAAAACTTTTAAATAATTATTTTAATATTAATATCGATATATTTTTTTTCTAATTTTTATGATATCTTCAAATTTATATTTCATTCAAAAATAAAAACATAATCAATTTCTCAAAATCACATAAAATCGTATTACATCAATAGAAACAAAGAATAAAACAAAACATTAAAATCGAGATACATCTCGCTGCATTACACAAACAAACACTCCAAATCAAAGCTTTTGTTTTGAGTTTTTGGGAGCTGTTACGGAAATAAAGAGAATCTTTCAAATAACAGCATAATAGCTTCCTTCCCCAATCCTATACACATACAAATCCAACAGTAGAGGATTTACTGGGTTAGTTTTAGCAAATGAAACATAGATATCAGCCGGCCCACAACACTAGAAAGAAATAGAGAAAGACAGCAAGTAACCGAAGGAAATCCATTCTTGTTTCTACTTCTACATCTCTCTTTCTTTCACATAACTCGCCTGAATGTGAGATTAATTCGTGCAGTCTCTGCTTTTGCTCGTTTGGGCACTGAATGGAGCCAGTCATGTTGTGTATTGCCCCTCATCACCAGTACTGACCCATGCTTCAACTTAAAAGAATAGGAATCATTCTTCTTTGCTCTCTTGCTGGAAGGCTCTCCCTCAACCTCAGCTGCATCCAAAATTAAAGTGGAATCCACTCTACTCACACTCACACTCACACTCACACTCACACAACTGGGAAACTAAATTTGATAAGAAAAAGATATGTGTACCTACCTTTAGATTTCTTATTAGGTTTCTTTTTCAAAATAAAGTCACGTTCACATCCAAAGGAGACTGAAGCAATTTCTGGATTGGGTCCATACAGTTTCTCATCGTCAGCATGCCAACCGACATAGTCATTACCACCCTTGTATCTATTTAAAAGTAAGCTGTTAAAATGACTCCCAGGAAAAGCTTTGTGTACCTAAAATCCAAAATCACAAGTTCACATCACTTGTAATCATTCATTCCATACATATACAGACACAGGATCATTTTTACCTTATGCAGAATCTCCTCCAGAGGTGGAAAATCCTCCCAAGAATACGCTTTTGGTTTATACCCACTATAACTTAGTTCCTTCAATCCTTTACTTGCAATGTAGCATATATCTCTAGGCTGTAGACACCATGACAATATAACAACCAGTTATATCATATGAAAGAAGAAATAAAAATAAAAAAAAATAATAAAAAGTGTGTAAAATAGAATAACCACAGAAATGTATTAAGAAATATAGAGAGAAATCATACAAGAAGAATGTGAAATGTTCTTATCATAATTTTGTGTATACAGGGTCCTGTCTGTAGTAGCTAGAGCAACTAACTACCTCTTCTCAACTTCTTTCCAACTGCCTCAACTAATTGCCACATCATCAACTACATGTTAAGACTAATCATGAGTTACATCTAATTCTAACAGTCCCCCTCAAGATGAACCTAAGAAAACGACTTTAAGGTTCATCTTGGACATAGGTTTAAGGTTTGGTGAACCTATCAACAAGATGATGCTGTTGGATCATGAATGCTGAGAATTTGGCATACCAGTGCCTGGATACCTCTGCCTTAATCCATAAAGCTATTGACAGAGTTTACAAGTACAAACAAGTTTTAACTCCACAAGGCATGTTTCTACGCATAGCATTTGGTTTGCAAATATGACAGTCGATACAAACACAATCCGGTAGATAACCAGTGTCTATTTTAAATAAATACATGAATGCTGAAACAAAGCATAGCAACCAAATTCTTAAAACCGGTGTCCAAGAAGATGGGAGTATATATGTGGGAATGGAACGAGATTCAATTATATTTCCAAGCCTAAAACGTGATGCTCCGCAATACAGGAATTTTTTCATGAAAGAAGCATAATATACCAGCAATTAAACCCCATAAACTGAAGAAACCTCAAAATGGCACAACCATAAAATAACAAGTATCAATTATACAAAAAAAATGAAAGAATGTGTCCCGTGATTTCTGGAGTTTGGGTTTACCTAGTCAGTAGTCTTTTCTAGTCCTGGTCTATAGGAGTTATTTCAGATTTTTTTGCCTCATTAGCTATTGTTAATCGTGGCTGATTTCTAGGGATTTCTTTCTGTTTTGTAAGGCTATTTAAAGCCAAGTTTGCTGAATAAGAAGTCAAGTCTTTAGGTTAAATTGTTGTGAGTTTCTCTGATATTTAACAATTGTTACCAAAGCACCCACTGGGTTTGATCACATAAAAAGTTGCAGCTTTTAGAGATATACATGAGAGATGAGTGAAGAGAAGATGAAGCTCCCTCACTTTGATGGTTGTCACTATAACGTTGGAGTGAATTAATGGAAAATCTGTTGAGCGCAAAGGATTTGTGGAGCATGGTAGAGAAGGGCTTTACAGAACCAAACATTGGAGCATTGACGGACTTACAGACGCACAAAAAGCTCAACTTGATGGAGCAAGGGGCAGAAAGACCACAAATAGAAACATTACCTCTTTTAAGCAATCGACAGGGTAACGTTCGAACAGGTTCTTGACAGAAGCACTGCTAAGAGTGTATGGAATTCACTAAAAAAGTTCTTAGGCAATGATCGTGTCAAGAAGTCTCTCCTTCGAAAACTGAGAAGAGACTTCGAGATACTGGAGATGAAGAGCAGTGACAGCATCACCGAGTATTTTGCTAAAGTTATGGCAATAACCAACCAAATGAGAAGCAATGGAGAGGAGATATCTAATCAAAAAATAGTGGAGAAGATTTTGAGAACACTCACAGAAGATATCATGTATATTATGATGTCTATAGAAGAGGCGAAGAACATCGAGTGACCAAAATGGCAACTGTTGAATGCTTCAAACATAGCAACTTTGGCCATTTTCAGTACGAGTGTCCAAAATGGAACAAAGGAGTCAACTATGCCAAACTTGATGAGGAAGAGGAGCTTGTGTTGATGACATACTTTGAGCAGTATAAGGCAAAGAGAAGCGACGTTTGATTCCTGGACTCGGCATGCTCCAACCATATGAGTGGTAACAATGGTATGTTCACAAGCTTAATTGAAACTTTCAAACGTACAGTTAGGCTTGGAAATGACATGAAGTTGGAAGTAGCTAGAAAAGGAAGTGTTAAACTAACCTTGAATGGAGTCGCTTCTGTTATTAGTGAAGTGAATTATGTTCCAGAACTCAAGAACAATCTATTGAGCATGGGGCAACTCGAAGAGAAGGGGCTAACAATCACAATTAAAAAAGGCACGTGCAAAGTGTATCATCCAAGTAAGGAGTTGTTACTTCAAAGTGTGATGAGTGCCAAAAGAATGTTTGAAGTTACAACTCACCTTGCAGCAAATGCTCAACCAGAAAAAAGATATTCATACAAGCCAGGTGGAAGTACATCAGATGTGCCATGAAAGGTATGGCCACCTAGGCAAAAACAGGCTAAAGACGCTTCAAACCAAGAAAATGGTGCGAGGATTGCCTCCCGTTTGAAGTTAAAGACGATACCTGCACTGATTGTTTGAAAGGCAAGCAACCTAGGAACCCAACTCCTAACCACAGTATGTGGAGGGCGAAAGAAGTTTTGGAACTCATTCATTCAGACATTTCTGGTCCGATCAGTCCGATATCCAACAGGGGCAGAAGGTACATTTTATGTTTTATAGATGATTTTAGTCGTAAGGCATGGGTGTATATCCTTGCAAAGAAAATTGAGGGACTAAGTCACTTTAAAACATTTAAGAGTTTTGTTGAGAAAGAAGCAGGAAAACTGATCAAGTGCCTAAGGACTGACAGGGGAGATGAATTCACCTCCAATGAGTTCAATGTTTATTGCAAGGAGAATGGAATCAAGAGGCAACTCACCAGTGCTTATACGCCCCAACAAAATGGCGTAGTGGAGAGCCAAAATCGTATGGTGATGAACATGGTGAGATCGATGTTGACAGCAAAAAAGGTTCCGAAAACCTTCTGGCCTGAAGCAGTGAACTGGACGCTGCATGTTCTAAACAGATGTCCTACAGTAGCAGTCAAAAACATCAACACCGCAAGAAGCTTGGAGTGGGGAAAACCCTGTGTAGAACACTTTCGAACATGGGGATGGTTGGCTCATGTGCACATCCCTAAAGTTTTACAGAGGTAAACTTGATGACAGAAGTTGTACTTGTGTTCTTTTGGGTTTTAGTGATGAGTCAAAAAGGTATAGGTTGTTTGATCCTAACATAAAAGGGTGGTAGTGAGCAAAGAAGTAGTTTTTGAAGAAAATAAAATGTGGGAATGGGGAGAGAATTATGAAGAGCAAGTTGGGGCAAATTTAGTGTGGAGTGATGATGAAGATGTTGGAGACAAAATGGATAATTTTGGCGATGAAGAGGAGACTAGATGGTGATGAAATTGAAACAGAAAATTCAAGTGAGGATGTTAGAAATGACCAGAACACAACAGGTGCAAGAGAGGGACGAGCTCGAAGAACACCTTCCTATCTTAGGGACTATGTCTTTAGCGATGATTCATCAGAGGAAGAAATCGAAGAAGAAGTAGAATTGAATATGGTCGAGTTTGATAGAGGTGATCCTTCAACCTATGAAGAAGCAGTGAAAAGCAAAAAGTTGAGATTAGCCATGGATGTAGAGATGGATACAATCAAAAGAAACAACACATGGGATCTGACTGAATTGCCAAAAGGGCAAAATTCATCGGCGTGAAGTGGATATACAAGACCAAACTCAACGAGCTTGGAGAAGTAGACAAGCTCAAAGCTCAATTGGTGGCAAGGGGATACTCTCAAGAGCATGGTATAGACTATAAAGAGGTGTATGCACTGGTTGCACGTATGCATACAGTAAGAATGGTAATCGCTATGGCTGCTCACAACGGTTGGAAGATCTTTCAACTTGATGTTAAATCAACATTCTTGCATGGAACCCTGTCAGAAAATGTTTTTGTCGAACAACCTAAGGGCTACATAATTAGAGGAAGTGAGAACAAAGTCTACAAGCTTCACAAAGCCTTATACGGACTAAAACAAGCGCCGAGGGCTTGGTTCAGCCGTATCCAAGCTTATTTTATTGATGAAAGCTTTCAAAAGAGTCAGAATGAAGAAATTCTATTTTTTAAGAAGGCAGTGAAGGTAAAGTTCTTATTGTTAGTGTATATGTTGATGATCTCATTTACACAGGCAATGATACCTCAATGATGCAACAATTTAAGCGTTCGATGCAAAAGGAGTTTGATATGTCTGATCTTGGAAAAATGAGATTTTTCCTTGGTATAGAAGTGATACAAGCAGCAGATGGCATCCATGTTTCACAAAGTAAATATGCAATGGAGGTCTTGAGACGTTTCAAGATGGAGGACTGCAATCCCCTATTGATCCAGGAAGTAAGATTGACAAAGATGAAGATGGAGAAAGAGTATACGAGACATCTTATAAACAAATGATTGGAAGTCTAATGTACATCACCAACACAAGTCCAGATATGCAGTTTGTTGTAAGTCTGGTTAGTCGTTTCATGTCCAGGCCTACCAAGCTACACTTTCAAGCTGTCAAGAGAGTGCTAAGATACTTGAAGGGAACTTAAGATTACGGCATATGGTACAAACGACGAGGAGCTGAAGGAATGAAAGTGTACACAGATAGTGATTATGCTAGAGAGACCAATGGAAGAAAGAGCACCTCTGGTTATGCTTTTTTATTAAGTGATGGGGCAGTAGCTTGGTCTTCTAAGAAACAAGAAGTCGTTTCTCTTTCAACAACAGAGGCAGAGTACATAGCCGCTGCTGCATGTGCCACACAAGCTGTTTGGATGAGAAGAGTCCTGGAAGAATTAGGCTATGCATTCGAAGGAAGTACAAATACAACGATAATGTGTGATAATACTTCAACCATCAAGCTTTCCAAAAATGCTGTGTTTCACAGGAAGTGTAAGCACATCCATGTGCGATATCACCTCTTGCATGACTAGGTGAAAGATGGAGTGATCAAAATTGGAGTTTTGTGGCTCTCATGATCAAGTTGCTGACATACTCACGAAGCCTCTGAAGCGAGATACCTTTCAGGCACTAAGGACTCAGCTTGGAGTCTGCTCTGCATCAAGTAAACTAACTGGTGGAACTCATGTTAGTTTAAGAGAGGGAATGAAAGAATG